TCAAGTTTAGAATCTGCAAGGGTTCTATCATGATACCACTGGCAATTAATGCTACCAATGGTGGTACCGCCCTTGTCAGGCGATGGTACCACCTAGTGTCAGACTATAGGCGGTAGTACCGTCCAGTAATAGCGGTGGTACCGTCAGTACCCCGAAATCCAGGGATGTGACACTTTTTTGCTCCAATTTTGAAGCCATTGGGGCCTATAAAAACCCCACCCTTTTCTGCATGAAAGGGCACGAAAGTGTTTAACATATTCTTGAATCTTTGGGGTGTTAAGTATTGTAAAAGTGATAAAGAGTCCTCTCCTCCCTCTCTTAGCTTTGTAAACATCCAAGAAAGAGGAGTGGGGCTTGTGAGGATTATCTCCTAAACCCGGCAAAAGAAGAAAGAGCTATAAAAGGTGGTTGGTCTTCGCCTATTGAAGGAAGGCCTTTAGTGGACACCGGTGATCTTGATAGAGGAGGAATCCGAAGTTGATGTAGGTCACATCGACCAAATCACTCTAAATTCTTGTTTGATTTTTCTTTTATGTAATTTATATTACTGCAAACCTCTTTAAGCTTCTCTTTATATTTTTATGAAAGCTCTCGAGTTCAACATCCTTCCGAAATGGTTTGAATCGAAACAAATATTTTATGAAATTGATGTTTTTTCATTGTACTAATTCATCCCCCTCTTAGTGCCGCTCTTGATCCTAACAGCCATCGCATGGCCCTTTTGTGGGTGACCAAATGGGCCTTCCACTTGGCCCAAAATAACCCAAACTCAGGCCCAATTTGCCCCTAATTGAGTTAGCATGGTTATATCCCAAAATCGACTCAATTAGACTCTAAACTACTTGAATCTAGACAAATAATTACAAAGCATAAAACCTTTGTCCGACATGTCATTGGTTTATCTGGTGTTTTGTCTGATCTTTCGGTGCATCGTCATCTCCTTCGGCGTATTCCCCAGTCGGCATTTTGACCTCCGCAACATCCGATCTCCTTGGCGTAATGTCCGATTCTTTGGCCCGATGCCCGAACTCATGGCACGAAGTCCTTCTGCCAATATGTCGATCGATCTTTCTGCTCGACGTCCAATCTCCTGACATGTTTCACTCCGATCGAACGTCCGATTCCTTATGCTTTAATCGATTTACCTTTTTTGATCGAAGTTAGTCCTACGTCACTCAAAACGTAGATTAGATCGTAAACGCATTAATTGATTTCATCATCAAAATCTAAGATTCAACCGCGATGCCTATCACGTTGGGTAATCCATGTTCTCTTCGAGGGTATTAGTATGGTGTAAAGCATAATGCACAAGAAAATGCATCTCCTGATCGATTAGGTTAAGTTGTTTAACCAATGTGGTTATGTCCATCTAACATCAGATATCTTTTATTAGCAAAAAGTACGTCAACTTGTAGCTCTGTCACCTACTACGAAATATGACTAAAAGGTAAATCTCGCACTAGCGAATGATGCCTATAAAAACCAAGCAGCACTTCCCCCTAGTCCTGCATTTCTAGACAACTACAAAATTCCCCACGGTTTGACCAATTACCAACATGTTTAACTAATTGCAGCCAACACAACCCTGATCAACTTTGGGCTGATCCCAATGATCTAATTACAAGAAGAAGAAAAAACATGATCAAATTCAACTGTTTGGTCAATCTAAATCAGTACTGATCCTAAATCTTATGATTGATTCCAAACACACTTCCAACCTTGCAAAGTTTGGATTTAGAGTACCAAGCATTCGGTGGTAGCTAATTATCGTGGAAGAGTGACCCGTGCACATACAAGAGAAGCATTAATTTTTATGTCTTTGCCTTTCATAACTTGACAATCGCACCGATGGTGCCACTATTACAAGCCTAAAAACAAGAACCAACACTAAGCATCAAGAGATAAGTTGGCTATATCCAGACAAACTCTCTTTTTGATTTTTTTAATGGCCTAATTTTGTTTCTTCTCAAATGAATAAATTCAATTTTCAAGACCTCATGATCATGTTTGTATCAAGTGCAAACTAAGCCGATGAGATTGTTAAATATGGGCTTAGCTTATTCATCCCAGTTGTATATGGGTTTATCCATGTCTTCCAATGATAAAACATAGGTCATACCTCCAGACAACAAGTTATTCTGGATGGCTAAACTTACATATCATATCCTTTCTTTTTTCTCCTCCGTGACTACCATAGTCCACCGATATTGTCAATCATGAGTGCCACCACTGTATCTACACTCTTTTGCTGTATTTCCCTCCAATTTCTCGAACTAAGCATCACATATCGGTCAGCAGGGAATCACATCATACTGTCAGAGCATAATAAACCATCAAGCACTGAATTCTAACTATTGGCAACATCTACAACTGCCAGCTATCGGAGAAAATCAATTAGCAAACGTAATAAATCATCGAAAAAGTGCGCTCAGGCATCTCCGATCGGTCCGATCCGCGGTCGGAGAAGGTGAGCAGGGTTTCATCCAATCAGGGGAGGGATCGGCACCGATGCCGACGGCGACAAGGGAAGAGGCGGCGACGACGGTCTCTTGCACCACGGAAAATCTTCAGCTCCATCCCTCGCTCTTCGCGCTGTCGATCGGGTTCCGATCCAATCACACGGCGCTACCTCGCTCGTTCGGATCAAATGCGGCACATCATCAGATGTGCATCAACAGGAAGCCGCCGTCGATCATCAGCAGCCGTCCAAATAGGATCCGCTTAAAATAAGTCCCGCGCCCATCATCGACAAAACAGGGCCAACTCGGCCTGGCCTTGTTACGTGCAATCCGTGTTTCCATTTCACTTGCATCGCTTTCTACTGATTCACATCACGTCACACATCAATCCGTTTGCCAAGACTATTCAAATGATTTCATGAGAGGCGATGAGTCTTTCTAATCTTTTGTGTTTGTTTATCCTAAAAAAATTACGATAAGAGATGCTCTGTCGAGAACACTTGCAATTGCTGTATACAGTAATAAAACATATAACTAAAGTTGACTAAAGATGTCGGATAATTTTACATTCTTTTCATGCTCTCCATAAAAGTTTTGTTATAACGAATTATATTCATCAAGCTCGTAGACACATGGAGGATCTCTCCCCTACAAGACGTACTTTTAGCTAGGAAAAAAAAAAAAAGGCAGGAACATCCCATGTCGAATAGTATCAACAGTTAGGAGCATGCGTAAGTAAAACTGTCACTGCTTGGATGGACATAGAAACTGAAGAATATGTAATTCGATATTATCAACGACTTTCAATTGGTGCAAGGATTATTATGCAGTTTCTTTGTATAACAATGCACGCTTAGCTTCTTCGTCTCTATGGCAAAGGCAATTCTTTAACTGAACCAAAGAATCACCATGTAAAAGACCTTAATATTCGTATATTCTGGTCAGACTTATATGTCGTCCGTCATAATTGGGCTAACATGACTAACCTAATTAAAAGATGAGTTAGGTTCAGGTGCAGGAAACTGACTTAAACGACCAAAATCGACTAATTAACAATCATGTTAACAGCATCCTTTTGGCTTACTGTGTCAAGCATATCATACAAATATGCCATTTAAACAGGTTAGATCATGCCATGTTTTACTCAGCTTAACCTGACTCGGTCAAGACAATTCACTCATGTATTAGATGGCGAGTTTGGTTTAAATTAAAAGTTGATAAAGGGATTTGTTTCTATATCCTGCTGGAGCCACATATGGTTGCATAAATGTGCATGTGATGTATTTGTATTCATATCACAATGCAGCTATCCAAAATCTACTTCATATTATTGATCATATGTCTACTTAATCTGCATAAGATGGCTTCTACAGATTGTTTCTCTAATCTTGAGTTAAGCCAGACTCCAAATGGTATTAGACAACAATATACATAATATAACTTTATTTGAGAAGGTGTGCTCATCCATTTCAAGTGCAAATAGATAAGGAACTTAGGTTAACAGTTAATGCACATAATTACCGATGAATTTATTAAAACTAAGGAGAATATAAATATGATACCGTGCAGTGTGATGAAACAACATAAGAACTTGCAGAAAGATAAAACAGAGTAAGAGCTGAACAGCCCCTTGCCTGTACAATTTCTCTGACTCATGCAATAAACAGCCCCTTTTACCAAAAGGCAAATTCATGTCATCAGAACTCCCACTAGAACACGAATCATGTGAATACTCATTGGCATTGTATATGCCAAATGATGATTGAATTATTTCACTAGCATCCAAATTCTCAATAGAAGAAAATAAGTCCTTCATATAATGAACTGTCTGGGTGGGTTCGGGCAGATCACAATTTTCAATATGCTGCAGTGATTTTTGGGCAACCAACAAAGCCAAATCATCTTTATCTGCAATATGCCACCATCCCTCAGGCTTATTACACCCAGACCAAGGCGTTTCAGATCAACCGGCTTCAGATCCAAAAGTTTTTCCACCTTGTAAACAAAATCCATATTTGTCTGCTGCTTTAGTGGCTGTTGTGAATAGATGGTTGTTGTATTCATCTCTTTGACGCTAGTTCCAGAACCACTCTTCATGGAAGCTGTTGATACCAGATCTTCCCTTTTAAGTACAAATTTAATAAAGTTAACTGGCAAAGACCCCCCCCCCCCATCCAACTTTGATGTTGGGACTGCAGTTTCTGTATACTTCTCGATAACTTCCCATTCTATGGAACTTAGTTGCTCACAAGTAAAATCCTTCAGGCACCCAACAATGGGTTGGAGCTGAAGCCGCCCTTTTGTTTCAGGAGATAGATTAGGATTCATGGGGTTCCTGTTTGATGGCATGAATTCCGGGACATGATAATCTTGTGCGATTGCAGTATTCTCATAGCCCAGAATGTTCACCGAGGTATATGATGGACAGCAAGCCAACCTTGGAGCTCCTTCTGCATCTTCCTGGACTAGGCAACGGCTTGCAATGCGCTGCCGAGCTGGCCTTGATTCTGTAGCTTCCATTAGTGGCTCATTTCCTCAGACTTCTGTAATAAAATTTATCTACCAGAGGCAAACAAATTGGTTATGTACTTGGTATGAGAAAATCAAACAATTAGTCAAAAAGTGAGTACATCAAAATAAATCGTCTAAATTCTCCATTTCATACTTTACAGAAGATTGATGTTCAAAGCATCATGTGGTAATAGATGACACTTTACACAGATAAAAGCAATTTCCAAGTTCAAGAGCTGTGTACCATGCAACACAAGAAACATGTATCACCTACTCCAATTAGATACAAGCATAAAATAAGGAACAATAGATATGGTCCCTGAAAATTACTTTCAGCCAACATTTCAAGATGATAGTAGAACAATTGCATATCTTAAGATGATAGTAGAACTGTAGAACATATAAATTTAATGAAACAAAGAGGTTCCTATTCCAGAATGATCATTAAGGCATGTTTTGTCAAAACAACAGCAAACATTGTCAAAAAAGAAATTTCATAACTATAAATTTATATTTATATGGACATAAATAGTCTTATAAATGTAAGAAATGTAAGATCACTACCACTGAAGCATTAAAGTGAGTCTCCGGTCATGACTCTAGGCATTATATTTTTGTATTACGGATTTTATAAGGCTTGAAGTCTGGCCTAGCATTCTATCTTAAATTAGGCAAACTTACAGTAATCATTTTGTTCATAAGAAGTTACATTAAAACAAAAAAAAGTAAGCATTGTTCGTAGATTTATGGAACTTCTTCATGGTTTTCGAGATGACAATGTTGAGCCCTTGTACAGAAAGATCTGATGATGTCCCAAGCCTCCGTTTCCCTACTAAAGATATATGTTTTTCTCAACCAGATGACTTTAAATACATTCCACCATTTATCCTGGTCATCCATTAGACAAACAGTCGGTAATAGAGCTGAATAGTACTTACTATGCATATGATCCAGTAAACCTTTAAATCAAATGATCTCAAATGATTAGAGAAGGAAACCAAAGCTAGCAGGGCCAAAATTGGGGGGAGACAATCAAACAAAACAAGTAGAAACATTCTACACACTTAATAGAAGAGAAAGAACAAAAAAATCATGCGTATTCCCACCAAGTTATCAACAGCAACTACTCGCAAGCGAATGAGGGTCCAACCCACAAGCTAAACAACGGAAACCACCAAATCTGAAGCAAACATGAAAGCATTAGATAAATGCGTCAAACTCATACCAAAGAATAGGAGAAGGAATTCGAGGAGAAGACCCAACTCCGACATCTAAATAAAACGTGCACTGTGAACTCGGAGGCCTAGGAGATCAACATTTGGAGTTACGGCGATTCCATCGTTCCCTCGGTGAGGCGATGATGCAGAATCGAATCTGGTGTAAGGGAAAGAGGAGGTGACGTGTGCTTATTACGACGGGCATCAATCGACCCTCGGACTCCCCTGTGGGGTCCACAACCCCCAGTGACCGTCCGGAAGCGGTGGGGTCATCGGGAGCGTCACGTGAAAGTTCGATCTGGGCCTGAGAATGGGCCTCGGCCTGCTTTTTGTCGCATAGGGTTTGCTTCGTGATTCATGCAACAGCAGATTCACTCGTATCCATCCCCTCCGAACTCCCTCTTGTATAAGAAAACGGCCGTGTCCGACTAAATCTATGGACTCCGTAGCCTCCACGCCATCCTTCGAACGCCATATAAAAAGGGCTCAGATTGGGGGAAGGTAAAAGAAAAGGATCGAGCGCTAGGGTTAGGGTTTCGGTCGAACCCCGCCAAGGATGCCGAAGAACAAGGGTAAGGGAGGGAAGAACCGCAAGCGCGGGAAGAACGAGGCCGATGACGAGAAACGCGAGCTGGTCTTCAAGGAGGACGGCCAGGAGTACGCTCAGGTTCTCCGGATGCTCGGCAACGGCCGTTGCGAGACCATGTGCATCGACGGCACCAAGCGGCTCTGCCATATCCGCGGTAAGATGCACAAGAAGGTCTGGATCGCCGCCGGTGACATCATCCTCGTCGGCCTCCGCGACTACCAGGACGACAAGGCCGACGTCATCTTTAAGTACATGCCCGACGAGGCCCGCCTTTTGAAGGCCTATGGAGAGCTCCCGGAGAACATCCGCCTCAACGAGGGCATCGGAGGACTCGATGAGGTGGACGAGGGCGGCGCTGATGACTACATCGAGTTCGAGGACGAGGACATCGACAAGATCTAAGCGGTCCAAGGATCGATTGCGGTTTGCCTTGCCTTTCTTCTCTCTATCTCTTGAATGGCAATCCGTTTCTTTTAAGTTTGCTGCTGGAGTTGGGTTATCATATAGAATTAAGTACAGATATGCTTGTATGGTTTCAAATGATTAACTTTGTCGATGAGTGCTGCAGGCGTCAAAGATTTTTAGTCTATCTGGTTAATGATGATGCTTATGTTGCACTTTGCTATAAAAATACATATTATCTTTGAGTATCTTTAATGGTTCTTCAATGCAGGTTTCATGGTTTTCTTATATCATGATGTGTATTTTGTACTTATGCAATACAACCATGATCAAAGTGGTTTTCAGTTCCATCTAGATTGAACTAGATGTTCTATGGTGTTAGATCAACACCTATCCTTTTTCAGATCTTTAGCTGTTTATGTTAATCTTGTGGAATACATTGATGATCTGACAAAAACTGTAAAGAACCTATTCAATACCATATTGATGCTTGGTCTGGGATGTGATTTCATTTCATATGTTTTAGGTGCTCTTGTCAAACTTACCTTCGAAGTGGGTGGCTTTGTACTCTTGATTCTTCGTTTCTGTTGTTTTCATGCATGCTTTACTTGAATACTGAAGCTTTGTTGGTGGAACATCAATTTTAGCAGACATGTCTGTGTTTGCTGATTTGTGCCTCTAGATCTTAAGCCAGAAGCTGCTTGAATGAAGCCGATAAAACACTAAAGATGCATCATCGACATTAGATGACTATATTATTTCTGCAAGATATTTTGTTGCTCTGTGCAGTCCATCTCAACTGGCTTATTTCTCGCTTTTCATACTCAAACTACCGTATTCTGAGTATACTGTATTGAATATCATGAATTTTGGATATAATTAGTGAAGACTGTTAAGACTGTTTTTTGTTCTTATACTTCTTGTCTCATCTGCCCAAGAGTTTTGATCCCAACAGAAATACAGAAATAAACAAGTACTAGTTTATGTTGCATGAATGTAGTTTAGTTTTGAAGGCATATTAGGACAGAAGAATGTCAATTTATTGAGTAATTTTCGGATTATATGTATTCTTGGTTGCACTTAGATGGTATACATTCTGTTTGGTATGCAAGAATACTTGGACACAAAATCTTCTTTCTAATTGTTTGTGGTCCTACAAGACCCATTCTGTTATTTTCTATTTCATGATGTTTTCTTTTATTCTTTTACGATCAAGAATTAGTTGATTTTGAACATGAAGATTTGAGGCAAGCTGTTTCCACATTCCTGTTGTCTTTAGTTAAATACCTATTGGCAATGAGAGCAGAGGGCATTGCATTTAATGCTCGCAAGCAGGGTAGACTAGTTTGAGATAGTCAGATTCAAGAGATTACCCAATAGCTTTGGAGATAGATTATAGAAGAAAATAACTTGTACAAGTCATATGCCCTTCCATGCCTAAGGACAAATAAGAATGCAACCACATGAAAGCTCTGGATTTGGTTTGCAGGGTTTCGAGTTTTGTTACTCTTGGTGGTTGATCTATCTTCCTGTTATCATTGATGGCCTTACTGACTTTCTCTGATCCTACTGTTTCCCAGCACCATATGATGGAATCTTTTTTTTCTAAATGATTGATGATTATTACCATAAGAATTTTTAGACTTGTCAGGGCAGTAAAGAATTTTTTTGGATTTGTGATGGCACCAAAACTAATGGCTGGGTGCAATGATAACGGTCGGTTGATATTTGTATCAGCTAGACTGTAGAAGATGGCTGATCTAATCTTTCATAACCACAGTGGCCTCTATCATACTCATCCAAGTGTTTCGGAATACCAGTTAGTGGAAATGCTTTAATGAAGGGCCTGATGAGGTTTGTCATCTCTCTTTATGGAGTTATGGCACTTTTGTTTGGACTTGTTATTGGCACTGGAGCTAGTGGGTGGTGTAGTATATATTTGCCTGATTTCGTGATAATCCTGCTAGGTTGATGTGATGTGGTGGCTCTGTCAAGTGGTTGGGGATGCCAAGTTGCGGAAGCAAGAATAGATGACAATACGTGTTACTGCAACCTAGTAAAGTTTTCTTTGTAGATATGTGAACAATATGTAGCATTTAGCCTACCAAATGTGAGGTTGATCAGATAAGCTGATGAGTATGATAATATTAGAGCTTTATTTCTAGATGGAAGAGGTACTGTTGTGGTTGGATGAAGCGCAGTTTGGTCATCTCTTATTGTGGGCATGGGACACCCACTTTTGGCTACCAAGAGAGCTCCTATGCTAGAGGAGTTAGGATGGGGGAGAGGAGGTTAGGGATGATAGCAGATTGGGTACTATCTGAACCCAACTATTCATATCTGTTAACTGAACCTAACTTGGGTATCTATCTTCCTAATTGAATAGCTAAATCTGATTTAAGTGAGTTGGGTAGATGTGGGTACTCCCATTGTCATCCCTAACTCATATCAAGCATGATAATAATGGGTGAGGTATTTGCAACCAAACCTGATAACTACCTTAATAGCTAATTTCGAATCTGGCTCAGTTAACTTCACTTGTTGATCTATGACAAAAATCATTGACTGCATATGAAGTTGGTTTTCTGAAATTTTGTTAGGCTTCGATTGGTGACAGAACAGCAAAGCTGAAGAGATTTGTCCCTCCCTCCTGGAATGTGAGTTATGTTTGCTATTTTTCTTTTCCTTGAAGCTTTCAATAGGAAGTAAAGTAGCTTGTCTGTCGTGTAGCAGATTTATTATCCACTTCACTTGATTTTTGGCATCATTCACTCTTCCGTAATTTCTTCTAAAACTAAGAGCTGGTTTAACTTGTTTGTTAGGACCCAAGAAACATGGAGTTGCTATTTTGAAAGCACTTAGTTTTAGTTCTCTTATTCTTGTGAATTCATTGGCTTCTCCGTTTTTGTAAACGTATCAGTTGTCTCGATGTGTTTCTGTAATCAAGGAGAGAGAGAAAAAAAAAAAAAGGGAAAGAAAAAGTCATGTAGGAAAAGTGTGAGGTTTTTAGGAATGAATTAAGGCAGGACCGCAATAAGAAGTGATAGGTTTTAGTGAGTAGGACATGGATAAAGGTCTTTCAAATCCAGTTATGTAGTAAGTAATCCCTGAAAAGCTTTTGATATCGTTTTAGCTAAAGAGTAAATTTATCATATGCTGCAAACCCGTTCGGTAGCGGACACTGTTCTTTGGATCCGTTGGCTTCCGCATCCAAGCATGTGCCGTCCAACGACCGTCTAGAACTATCGTCGTGGTGGTTATGTTTTCTTTGGTTATTCGTGGGTGGGTTTTGTCGAAGTGGAGCTTTTCCATTGCCTCAGTCAGGAAACCCTCGTTTGTATCGGCTCCTCGTCCTTCTTCCCAGTCTGCTTTGTGCCCACTCCCAAAAATGTATTGAATGTTTGTGCAGTCGGGACGCGTTCTTTGTTGGAACTCGGAACCACCACTCGTAGCTTCTTTTTTTGTCCCATCGGTTACTGCCAGTGATGAATCTCGTTTTAAGATTACCACCAACGTGGATTAAAGAAATACTATCCCTATCTTTTCTCCGCACGACTCGTCTCATGTACAGACCACAGACAATTCGCTTTCGTGCGTGAGCCGTTTCCTGCCTGCATGTGATGATGATTGAGCCGATCCTCTCGTAATGATTTATCACATGTTAGACATGTTCTTCAGAAAGAAAGAAAAATTCTAAATAAAGCCATCAGATCGGATATATTATTACTCCGAGGCATACGAGTCTGTCCGACCACCAGCCCTGGTTAATTGTCATCTCATGTTTATGTATGACTCCACGCACGAGTAGAACCCCTCCCTTGTGACAATCTATTATAAATGTACACTTGCTGGCACCAAAGCAATGTCTGATTCAACACCAACCATCCTGCCTCGTTACAAATGTTTGTGTGCACATCTATGACTCGGGTATCAGAGAGATTCCTCCGACTTGCTTCTCGCTAGTTGGTGTAGATCATCCCAGGTCAACTCTCAATCGTCAACTCCGGCAAGCTCGATAGTCGATAGTTGATTCGTCGGATCTCCTGACTTGATTTGAATCACAAGTGAAGCAGGAGAATGTGTTCCATCTTACTTACTTGAATCTTTTTTTTTTCTTCTGGATCACGTTCTCTATGCAGATGAGATGGGGTGTGTGACGCAGTCAACGACATTGAGTTGTGGAGGAGGAAACTACAAGGGAACAGCACGCCTCAAGGAACACCTTTCTTATTCGTTCCTAAAACACACAACCCCAACAAGTAAAGGAGTAATGATCAATCATAGACTTGCATCTTTCATGAATCATGTGTGTACAGTGATTAATGGTCGTGATCAATCATCACCCAAACTTGCGGAGTTTGTGCGCTACCATCTCAACGATGTGCCGTGATGAGCGTCTCGATGAACCGCAGCCCGTCGAATCTGGGAGCGAATCCATCTCCCGGCTGCGGCTGCTCCTCCTGCTTTGATTGAGACGCTGAGTCCTGCGCAATCGCAAGAACCAATTCGAGGAACTATTTCATGAGGGGAGTCTACTGATGTCCACGAGGTCCAATTACCTGGCTTGGACCTTGGGCCCTGGCGTCGGAGAGCGAGCCGGACAACGCAGTCGAGTACGAGGCGGCGGCAGTGATCACCGTCGACGCAATTGCGACCGCGCTTGTAACCTTCATGGCGGTAGGAGCACCTCTCTCTCGTTCTCGTTCTCTCTCTCTTTCTATATATCTGTAAAACCGTTCCTCCCTCTCCTTCGGCACCTATATATATATATATATATATATAAAAGAGAGAAAGATAATACCACCAAACAACGGGCGAAGAACGAGAGACAAGGAAGAATGGGAGGAATCGAGGGAAGGAACTTATCTCCTGCTTCCTGGCGTATCAATTCGAATTCCGCCTCGAACCAGGTTGGCTTGCCACCCAGGCCGTGGTGGATGCGGCGTGGA